GTCATCTGCCACATGGAGGACCACTGTTCTGATAGGAGAGAAAGACCTTCTACAGCCTCTCTCCTCACTGCCACTCCTTCTTTTCAGGCTTTCCCTCCCCTTGTAGATTTGTGCTGAGTGCAGGGCTGGAGGGAAGTAGCCAGGCAAAACATCCATTGGGTGGCTGGCCTGGGGGGGCACATCATAAATCTGGGGGAGGCGTAACCACCCCAGCACCCCCCTTGATCCGGTCATGGGACATACCACAAAAGCTTGTCCTGAAATTGTATGTTAATGCAAATCAAAAAAGTATCATGGACAGTACTCAGTTGCTCTTGTGCACTAATACGGCTACAATCACCTCAAGCAAGATGGAGGATACTTCTGTTGGAAGTCCATTCCAAGCATCAACTACTCTTAATGCTTTCTAAGGTTAGTTTAGAAACGTTCCTCCTGCAAATTTGAGATCATGTCCCCGTGTTCTTGATCTCAGCTTCCTACTGAAAGTTCTGCCCTCATGAACCCTATTCACTCCCTTAACTCGTTTAAAGGTTTCAGTCATGTCTCACCCTTCTTTTCCCCAGACTGTAAATATTAAATTCCTGAAGTCTCTCCTGATATAGTTTATCTCCCAGACCTTTCCCCGTTTTTTGGTGTCCATCTCTGGGCTCAATGTATCTCATCAGTCATAAGCTGAGTGGTCAGGTTTTGGATTTGAACCTGGGACTTCTGTTGTATCTGGCAGCAGCTCTTCCTACTGTGCCACTTGATGTGCTGGACAGCTTCCTGCCTGACCCTTCTTGTTTCTGGAGAACATCTGACGCCTTGCTCCTCCCGTGGACTTCCTATTTTAGCTTTGTCTCTGCACGTCCTGTTTCCCAGATTATTGTGCTCTTCTCCAGCCAAATATCTTACTCCTTGTGCTCCATCTGCCATGCGTACCTTCACTACCACTCCTTACTGACCTTCTGCTTGTTCCTCAACTATGTTTCTGCTTGATCCTTCTGATAACAACAATCACCAGTTTTGTAATATATTGTATCTGGCATTAACAGTAAATTTTCTTCAGTATTGAGTCAATGCGGTGGCACATATAGTTCAAACAGCCTCCATACATCTCGTCGGTGCAGTCCAACCAGAGGAATTGCAACAATCTTACCCACTTTGCAAGTAAAATAGTCTTATGACCCTGGATTCTCTGTAACGTATGTAAATGTCTGTAAGTATAAGAGCCACCAGTCAGCCAAAGGAAACCACACAGTCATTCTCTATGGATATATAGAGGGCTATAGAATCCACATAAAAGGGAACAAGGCATCTACCAATACTTTTCACCATCATATAGATATCCTCGGAGTAGCCTTACCTTGTTCAGTCATTAAAGATTCCCTAAAAATGAGAAACTATGGCTTTGAAATGACAGAGCTCAATTCTTTAAGGCCCCGTGGGTGTATGCCATCCGGGTCCAGGTGCTTTATTCACCTTTATTCTGTCTAAATGTTTTTGGCCGTGTCAATACCATGTCCATTATGGACAAGAGCTTCCCCGTGCTCCTTTGTATACACAGAGCTGAAGAAGGTATTTAATAAATTTGCCTTCTCTTTGTCCCCAGTCACCCACTCTAGATGATTCTGTAAATGGCCTACATGCTCGGACCAAACCTTTTTTTACTATTAATATATTTGAAGATTTTTTGGGGTTGGTCCTACTATCTTTTGCAATCTGTCGTGCGTTTTCAATTTTTGCGTCCTTTATTTCCTTTTTGCATATTCTGTTATATTCTTTGTACTGTTTAAACGATGACAGCGTTCCTTCACTTTTATATTTAATAAAAGCTCTTTTCTTATTATCTAATGCTTTTGTAACTTTGGCTGTAAGCCACATAGGTTTGATTTTTAGCCTTTTAAACTTGTTGCCCATGGGAATATATTTTGCAGTGTGGTCACATACAGTCTTTTTGTGTTGTGTTCATTGCTGCCAATATTCCCTCCCAGTCTAAGTCTTGGAGAGCAGCTCTCAGCCTTGGAAAATTAGCTCTCTTAAAATTGAGCGGTTTTATTTTTCCCGTATGTGCTTGCTGTTTACAGCTAACAATAAATAAAAATCATGTTATGGTCACTGCTACCCAGAAGTTATTTTATATGGACATTCATAATAAGCTCTGCATGGTTTGAGATTACCAGGTCCAGCAGAGCATCATTCCTATTTGGGGCCTCTATGAACTGTACCATAAAATTGTCCTGTAGTAGGTTTAAAAAATGTTGCCCTTTAACTGTTCCTGCAGTGCCATTACTCCAGTCAATTTCTGGGTAGTTAAACCCCCCCCCCCACCATTATTATCACTGTCCCAGCCCTTGCAGCCCTTTCAATCTGTGCAAGGAGCTGAGTCTCCACCTCCTCATGAACACTGGGAGGCCTATAACAAACTCCAATGATTACCTTTGTAGTACTCACCCCATGTGCAGTTCCACCCATAATGCTTCAGCCTCATCACACTCTCCATCAACTAGGTCTTCTTTCACACTCGCACTGAGCTCACTTCTCACATAAAGACAGACACCACCACCTTTCTTATTGACCCTGTCTCTCCGAAAGTGAACATAGCCAGGAATATTAATGGTCCAGTCATGTGAAGAATGAAGCCAAATTTCAGCAATACCAATTAAATTATAGTTCTCTTCATGCACCAAAGCTTCCAACTCACCTATTTTGCTTGGCAGACTTCTGGCATTGGGGAACAAAAACTTTAATGCATTGACACCTTGTGCACACGTATTTTACATTGTTTTTTATTTTCATACAAATGTTACCAATTCCACTGGTTGTTTGTAACATGGAAACCTTCTTATCATCTGCCATAGCCCCCCCCCCTTATCTTTCCCCATTCCACCCACCAATAAGTACTGACCCCTGCCTGATCTGTCTACCCCATTATAATCTAATTCTCCCTCCCCCTCGATCCTAGTTTAAATACTCCTCCAGCCTTCCCATAAACCTCAACCCCAGCACAGCAGACCCCCTTCCATTTAGGTGCAAACCATCTCTAGCATATAGGTTGCACCCCAATGAAAAGTCTGCCCAGTGCTCTAGAAACCCAAATCCTTCCGTCTTATGCCAGGTCTTTAGCCATGCATTTAGATCTCTAATCTCTCCCTGTCTTTCCTGAGTTGTGCATGGAACAGGTAATATTTCAGAGAATTTCACCTTGGTGGTCGTTCCCTTCAACTTGCAGCCTAGTTCTTTAAATTGATTCTTAAGGAGCCTCCACCTTCCATGTATTCTGTGATTGGTTCCAACATGGACCAAGACAGCTGTGTCATGCCCAGCCCCTCCCAGTAATTTATCCACCTGGTCTACCACATGTCGAACCCTGGCATCAGGGAGACAGCAAACCATTTGGTTGAGGCAATCTTGGCAACAAATTATTCAATTAGTCCTGCTGATTATAGAATCCCCTACTACCACCAGCTGACTAGGCCTTCCTACACTACCCTCACCACCCCTCCCAGATGGTCTACCCTCCCGGCTGCTAGGGATAGCAGTGACATCCAGGGCTGGCACCCCTGAGCTTACCACCCCCACATCTTCACCCAAACTCAGGGCCAGCCTCCCTTTTCCGTGAGCCCCTACCACTCCCTCTCATTACAGTAACCCATCTTCCTACCTGACAATCCTGACTAGCCCCTCCACCCTCCACATCAATCCCATTAACTACCTGCTCAGAAAGCAGAAGACCCCTTTCAGGGTTGTCAGTTCTGCCCAGTGTTGCAACTTGTTCCTCCAGATCTCTAATGCGAGTTCCCAGAGTTGGGCTTAAAGTGGTTGTAAAGCCACATTTTTCCCCCTAAAATGTTTAAGAGGTTTATACTTACCTGCTCTGTGCAATGAGTCGCCCTGAATCTCCACTTCTGGTGTCCTTCTCCAGTGCTCCTGGCTTTCCCTCTCCTGTGTGTGCCCCCATAGCAAAGTTGCTGAGTCAGGCTGTGTGTGTCCATAGACATACACAGTGTGGCTCAACTCCACTGCCTCACAGGATTTGATTGACAGCAGCAGGAACCAATGGCTTTGCGGCTCTCCGTCTGTCCTGTGAGAGCATGGAGAAAGACCAACGCTGCTTCAGGTGGGCACAGCATTGGATCAAGTAGGTATTTTTGGGGGGGGGGGGGGGGGGGGGGGGGCAGCAAGTGTATGGTTTTTACCTTAATACAGGGAATGCATTAAGGTAAAAAAACCTTTTGACATTAGAACCATTATATAAAGGTAAGTGATTAATTTTGTTTTCTTGGTTCACCTTCACAGGCCATTTTTTTTTAATGATCTCCAATCATTTACATACTAACATATGTTATCCTGTATTGTGTATTGGCAATAAAGTCAAATCCCAGACTGCATGCAGCTGTTTTGCAGCATTTAATGAGTTAATAGCGTTACGTCTAGCAGCAGAGCGTCTGTCCCGCGAGGCTGGCATTGTTTGCAGGCCCCAGACTCTGCCTCATTAATTTCCCCATAAAACCACTTTGTCTAAACAGGTAGATCGGCCTCCTCACCTCCCGCACCGTCTGCCTGCCCACTGCACTTCCACTTTTTTACGATCTTTGTTTGATTCCTTTTTCGGACTAATTTGCAAAGCACATTAATTACTTCCATGTCTGGATTTTATGGCCAATAATTTCCAACAAACAGCAGTTTTTTTTATTTTCTGATGTTTAAGTGGGGCCACAAACTGCCTTGTTAGGCCAACATTTCTGGTGGTGAAATAACCCTTAGTGGATTCCAACCCCTGTTCAGCTTCCGCTGCAGTCTGACCTCTCGCGCTCTCCGAGTCTGTGAGAAGGGTCAAAGACATCCAGAGTCTGGAGGGAGGGACCTGACCTAAACAGAAACCTTAAAGCTGAACTCCAAGCAAACAGACAAACACATAGATTGTATATTCTATAATTCATCTTTAACCACTTCCCATCCGCCCTATAGCAGAAATACTGCTACAGGGTAGCACGGGTGCGCAAAATCATGTATATATGTGATTTTGCATTTCCAGGTAGGGGGCACATGCCCTACCCACGCCCCCATTCGCGGTCGCAGCGGTCAATCACCGGGTCCCATCTTTACGTGCCGGCGCCTGGTGATTGCCGAGGATCTCCGACAAACTGTAAACAAAAAACAGTTCTCTTTGTCAGCTCCAGCACACTGCTTTGCATGGCTGTGCACAGCAGTGTGCTTACAGTGAAGCACCAACACAGCCCCCTAGTAAAACACAAACAGCACACAGTTAACCCTTTGATCGCCCCAGATTTTAACCCCTTCCTGCCCAGTGCTATTAGTACAGTGTCAGTGCTTTTTATTAGCACTGATCACTGTATTGGTGTCACTGGGGATGGCAGTGACACTAAGTCAGTTCCCCCCCCAGTGTCACAATGCCCGCTGCAGTCCTGCTATAAGTCGCTGATTGCCACCATTGCAAGTGAAAATTAAAAAAAAAATCCCAGTATATATACCGCCATTTGTAGACGCTATAACTTTCACGTAAACCAATTCATTTACACGTATTGGGATTTTTTTTTTAGCAAAGACATGGAGCAGACTACATTTTGGACTAAATTTATGATGAAATTAGATTTTTAAAATTTTTATACTGGACATGTTTATTAGTAAAATGGCAAAAATATTATTTTTTTTTCTCAAAATTGTCCATCTTTTTTTTTAAGTGCAAAAAATAAAAAACAGGGAATCAAGCACCATTGAAAGAAAGCTCAATTCGTGAGGAAAAAAGGACAAACATTTAATTTGGGTAGAGCGTTGCATGATCGTGCAATTGTCAGTTAAAGTAATGAAGCACTGTAATGCAAAAAATGGCCTGGTCAGGAAGGGGGGCAAATCCTCTGGGGGGGGCAAGTGGTTTAAAAAAAAAACATTAGCTGCCAATTCTGACATTTCTCTCATGCATGTAAAAATAAGTATTATTATGCTAGAAAATGACATTATATATATATAGTTTTTGGTTTTTCTTTTTAAGCAGAGGCCACGGAAAATAAAATGGTGGTTTTTGCAATTTTTTTTTACATCAAGCAATATCTGTACAGCCATTTTTTAATTGCAAAATTTTTAGGAAAAAATACGCTTTAATTAATTTTAGTGCACATAAACTCAATATAATACCATTTTTGGTAAGATATAAAAGATGATGTTGTGCTGAGTAAATAGATACCAAACCTGTCATGGATTAAAATTGTGTACTTTCGTGGAATGTCGACAAACTAAGGTACTTAAAAATCTCCATAGGCAACAACTTAAAACCCCTCACAGGTTACCAGTATAGAGTTACACAGGAGGCCTAGTTCTAGAATTATTGCTCTCGCTCTGATGTTCGCGACAATACCTCACATGTGTGGTGCATTTACCATATACATTTGCATACAGAACCTACGTATGTGTTTGCATTAGTGCGTCAGCACAGGGGGACAGGGGTGATTTAAAAAAAAAGTTTTTAAAATGTTATTTATTTTATTAAATTTTTTTTCCACTGTCCATTACATCTTTTTTATAAACTTTTCTTCTATCACAAGGGATAAACTACATCCCTTGTGATAGCATGGGCCATGACAGGCCCTCTTTGTGGATAGATCTGGGGTCTATTAGACCCAGAGGTCTCCTCTGCTCTCTAAGGCAACCGATCAACCCAAGATCTGTTTGATTGGCAGCTTTACTAGCCAGTAACGGCTGGTAAACAAAAAACTGAAACAGCTTTCGGTTTCATACACCATAAAGATGATCAGGGAGCATAACGTTCCTCCTTCCTCTCTATGGTCAGACAGTACTACTGTCAGTAGTGGCCCTGGGCTCCCCAGTGGCATGGGAGAGGCCAGAAATGGCGGGAGTAGTGGAGGGGAGGGGGTCGATCACTTTTACCAGAACAGGCATTGCCAGATCTAAAGAATGGTATCTGGATGATGACTGTAGATGCATCCATCATCCATAAATCACCACCACTTCCCGAGGATGCATATATGTGTACGTTGGTCAAGAAGAGGTTAAACTTCCCTCTACCTAACCTTCCCAATAATAAAAACCACTTGTCCCGGTCCTAAAATAAAATAATAAAAAAAATAATAATCACGCCATGGAGTCCAGAGTTGTTTTGCTTTACCCTTCTTCAATGTTGCCATCTTTAATTGAGATCTGGCACATGTGCAGACACGAAGTGTGCAGTGCTGGATTAAACTCTGTGGAGGGTCTTAGCATTCGAAACCTTAGGGTCCCCCTTACAGGTTTCTGGAGATTTCTCATGTGTGTGCTCTAGTGGGATTACATTGAACAGTGTGTAGTGTGCCCCCTAAATGGAGATGACCATCACTACTGTACATTGCATGCCTGTAGGTTGCACCAGAATTATTTTACAAATTGACAGCTGAAAGAAGATGAGCTTTTAAGATACAAACTGTAATGTGAACCTGATATGTATGGTTTATGGACTAAAAGTTGTTTTTGGGTACATTACATTAATACAGGATTTTTTTAATAGAGTCTTTAATATAAATGTAGGAGAACCACAGTACATGTTCTCCTAGGCAAATGCTCATGCTTATGTGCATGCTTATAATTCTGAGCAAAAGCTCAATTCAAAGCAGGCTTTGTCACAAACGTATTAGCCTGCCCAGAAAAAACATATGTGCCCATGCCCACATATGGCCACTGGTGCCAAACGGCCTATTTAGGCTGCACACTGACATGAATGGATTGCTGAGTGGTCTTCAGCTAGTTCCTGATTTACCTGAGCCTTGACCTGTTCACCTGTGTATGACTTGGCTTGCCCCTGACCTGTCCTTGGATTTCTGCCTGCCTACTGTGACCTTGGCTTGTATTATGACTCTGCTCTTGCCTTGCACTCCTGTACCTCGCTGTCCAGTTGTGTGCCGATCCCGGCTTGTATGCTATCTCTGCCTGATGTTCCTGTGCCTTGCTGCCCAATTGTGTACTGATCCTGGCTTTTATCCTATCTCTGCCTGGTGTTCCTGTACCTCGCTGTCCAGTTGTGTACCGATCCCGGCTTGTATCCCGTCTCTGCCTGATGTTCCTGCACCTCGCTGTCCAGTTGTGTACCGATCCCGGCTTGTATCCCGTCTCTGCCTGATGTTCCTGTACCTCGCTGTCCAGTTGTGTATCGATGCCGGCTTGTATCCTATCTCTGCCTGATGTTCCTGTACCTCGCTGCCCAGTTGTGTACCGATCCCGGCTAGTATCCCGTCTCTGCCTGATGTTCCTGCACACCTCGCTGTCCAGTTGTGTACCGATCCCGGCTTGTATCCCGTCTCTGCCTGATGTTCCTGTACCTCGCTGTCCAGTTGTGTATCGATGCCGGCTTGTATCCTATCTCTGCCTGATGTTCCTGTACCTCGCTGCCCAGTTGTGTACCGATCCCGGCTTGTATCCCGTCTCTGCCTGATGTTCCTGTACCTCACTGCCCAGTTGTGTACCGATCCCGGCTTGTATCCTATCTCTGCCTGATGTTCCTGTGCCCTGCTTTTGGATTGTGTCTGACTACACTGATGTCTTCCAAAAAAGTGTCACCATGTTCCAGTTCCTGGTTCTGGCCTGGTGATCTACAGTCATCTGCTTCCTGCAAACCCAGCTGTTTGCCCAATTCTCATTACCACAACTGTAGTTTGAATTATACCAATAAAGCTGTATTTGTAAATTTTTTGAGTATTTAATCCGTGGTATGGTGCCTTTAAAGCCCCACTAGTTTTCTTAGGGCTATGTATTTTTCTAGCAGGGGTTCCTTGAGACCAGAAAGTTATTTCAAGGGTGCCTCTGTGTTAAAAAGATTGAGAAAGGCTGTTCCTGGTTGACAACGCTCACTCACTGTATCAGTTAGGGTGCAGCATTGTCACCCCTAGTACAGGACTGCAGAACACTTTCCCATTTTTTTTTTCATAATATAAGGGCGAGGTATTCCAGAACAATACCAACAGATAACAGCACAGCTGAGGCAGAGAGCCCAGGAAGTTAGATTTCTGCCAAGATGAAAAGCATTATTTTTCACTTATGGAACAGATATAACAAAACGTTTTCAATGGAATAATTAACAGAATAAAAGAGAGCAAATGAGAAAAAGTTAATTGCTAAGGTTTACATACAGTATACTTTGATTTCACCTTCCTGGTTGAGCTCAAAGCATGACATTTTGGGGAAATGAAGAAAAAAAATCTCAGTTTTGCTCCTCCCTGGAGGTAATTTCAGAAGCTGTAGATGAAAACAAAGTGAAAATGGGAACTTGCTATTGGTTAAACCCATGTCCTGTCACACTTGCCTTTTCCATGTTCCAGGGCCAGGTCCTGCCCACAGTGTGCAACTGTTGGCTCCCTACTTCAGCACAGCAGCCAATCGCAGCAGGGGGTGCTGTCTTAAGGGTTAGCTTGAGGGTTGCTCAGCGTTTGAGTTTTGTGTCCTCTCGACAGCAGCTGGACCCCATATGTTCTCTATTGACTTTTGCATTGATCCTCGTTGCTTGCTAGCATTACCATGGTGTTTTTAGCGTTCCCCAGTGTCGTTCTCCAGTTGTCCTCCTATATGCCAGCCTGTAACCAGCTCCCAGTGTCCCAGTGATTTGTAGTGTTTCCAGCTCCTCTGTGCCTCCAGTGATTCCTAACATTCCTGGTCTCCTTCCTGCACCCTGCTCCAGGGACACCCTATGTACACCAGCCTGTACCTTATCACAGTAACCCTGTGCAGTCCTGCCTGTGTTCTGCTCCAGTGACCCCATGCACAACAGCTTGCACCTTGCTTTAGTCCTTTGTTCCCAGGACCCTTGTGCTCCAAGAAACTCTTTCTTACCTATTCACGGGTAGCTGCCTTCCCAATTGAAGTGAGTCAGAAGGCTGACACCTGGGAACCATCAGAAGCCAACTCATCTCCACCATCAGGAGCTCTGGTGAAGACCAGGCAACTCATAGGAACCATTGGCCCTTCTAAGGACTCTCACCTTCACCAGTTGGGCATACTGAGCTCTTTGTGTCTCCTCTTTGGTTTTCACCAGTGCCAGCCCCAGCTGCTAAAACAAAATCCTGGTTAGCCGTTCTGACCCTTGGTATGAATGGACTCCTGTCTGCGAGAGGTCTGACATTTCCTCAGAATAATTACCTCCATTTTATTGCAAATAAACCATCCACAGTTCAACAATTTGAGATGATACCATTGGCTCTAAGGATCTTAAGAAGATAAGAACCTGGCTCCTTCTACTAACCCCCATAGGATGTCTATCCACATGGCCTGCTTGAAAATTGGAAGATTTTTGGGGTCTCTTGCAATTAGAGATAAGCTTGGGAGTTATTTTAACTCACCTCTAGCTGAACTCCGAACCCGCACTCTTTTTTAAATCCAATAAAGCTGTGAGCTGGGTCATTCCCACCCAGAAACCCACCTCTTTGTTTACATAAACC